GATTTTAAAAGAATTTTAAACTCCATAAAATAGAAAACAAATTGCTCTCATTTTCATTGTTTGACAATATAAGAAATATGAGATACAAATTTAAAAAATACTGGGATAAAATTAAAATGATTTCACTTTCCGTAACTAGGTATAAGTACCTAAGTCTAGACAATTTATTATTATAATACTTATTATAAGACTTAGAGGATCAAAGAAGTAGTTATTTGATTTTAAAATTCATAATGTTCATAGATTAAGGTTGTAAATCTTATTAAAGTATTAAGAAATGAAAATTATTTAATTTTGACTACCTGCATTCTAAGAAAAGTGAGTCTCATTCTCATTAGAAAAAAGAATTATGAACATCACAGTAACAAAAGATTAATTTTTTTATATTTTGATTTATTTCCATTACATTGAGTGGTAGGGGGAGTTGTATAAAAAAACGATTTGGTTCTTGAATATTTCTATTTTATATTGAATGGTGGATAACAAACAATTTTTCCGTGTAGAGGTAGGTACACATTTTAATATATGTTTAACTAGTTTACGTTATTGTATTTTTAATTTCAGGTAACAAAGTCGGAATGCACAAATCATTGCAATAAAAATTATAGAAAACATCTTTACAACATAAAGAAGAACACTAAAACCGTTTCTTTAAAGGTAAGGAAATATTTAACAGGTGAGATCATACAAAAATTGGTAAAGGCAGCACAATTCGCGGTTTACACTAATAAAGATGGAAGCATTGCACAACTTAAACAAGATTTAAGAAATAGTGTAACACATGTTTTTGGTAATCATGTTAACTGCCGAAGAGAAAATTACGATGTTAACAACTATATTAACAAACATTTCGAATTCACATCATCAGGAGCTCACCACCATGTATACGCAGCATTAAATTTACTTTTAACAAAAGCACACCTTCTTTTAGCCAACGAAATAACCAACAAAGCAGAATCATTTATGAATATTATTACTCTTTTTAATATGGGAAAACGATTAAATCTCATTTAAAGGAACGGTTTCCAAAGTAGGTGTGTTTTGAGTGCTCTTCGTTACAATAATGGAGTTAATTGGCACATCAAAATTTGGAAGCAATGCTTTAATAGAGAAGCACCCCATTTTCTAAGAAAATGGGTAAATAATGAGGAGCGTGACAAAATTAAAAGAAAACCTACTGTTAGAAAAAGTAAGGTCATAAAAAACCAAAACCATCAGAAACAACGGACTACGAATCTAATATTGCTGAGGTAGACATCAGTGATGAATGTCTTAAAGAAGAAGTTAATAAATTAATTGACCGACTAAAGGTATTAACATGAATAATAGGTACGTTTTTACTTTTTTTATGATTTTATATTTAAATATTTTTAGGTGACGAGTGTAAGCAACAACAACAACAAATATCAGAAGAAACTATAGGACAGTTCCACAAACCAAGTTACTTGGAGTAAAGAAGGTATCGGCTAACGGCTTCTCATTTTGGGGAAGTTGCCAAAAGAAGGAATAACTACCCCAGCAATTGAGTACGGCATACAAAACGAAGGTGTGGCTATAAACAAATTTCAAGAAAAAACTGGCAAAACAATTATACCATCAGGGTTATTTGCTTGATGTGCAATATGGGTTCCTAGGTGCATCACCTGATGGTAAGCGATAATTATTTATGTATTATAACAATAGTTTAATAACTTTTTCTATTTTTTAGGTTTAATTAATTCTGATGAACTTGTCGAGGTTAAATGTTTTTTAAAAGTAGCCACATCTAATCTTTCATTGAGAGAGGCCGTAGAGAAAAAAATGGTTCCCTGTTTAAGATTTAAAAATGGTGAAATTCATTTAAAGGAAAACCTCAATTACTTTTATTAGGTTAAATTTCTGACTACATTTCAAAGTAATTTAATGAAAGCTATATTTTCTAACAAATTAAAAATTATTATGTTTTTAGATACAAGGACAACTCGGTATCTCACGAAGAAGAATGTGCCATTTTATAATTTATGTAGGAGATGAAAGTCCTCTTTTTATTGAAAATTGATGATTTTTTTTTAAATCTAATGTAGGAACTGAGAGCTTTTTATGAGGATTGTGTGGGCTCGGAAATAATTTTGAATAGAAGAGGTAAAAAATTAAAGTGCAGAGATCCGCCAAAGAGTAAATAAATTATGTATTATCTTTTTAAAATTAATAAAAATGTTTTAGTTTAAGTTTTTTGATTTTATTTAATTTACTTATTTATACAAAATTTCGTGAAATACCGGTACCTAGCTAATCTGTTAATATTGTATATCTAATTTATTTTGATTTGGTTTTAAATTCTATATATTTAACCCATTAAAATTAAAAAGTTGTACTTTTATTAAAGGTGTATATTTATAAAGGTCTTATTTATTTTCAACACTTTAAAATTTTAACACATTCGATTATGAAGTTACCTACGTGAAGATTATCTTTTTCTATATCATTGATGTAAATTTTTGTTATTTACTCATACACTATCTTGTTGGGATAGGAAAGTAAAAAAATAATAGGTATATAAACTATCCTATTGGGATTATTTTTTTAGAAGCAAGTGATCTAATTTATAGATGTTTCTATTTTATCCAAAGAAGTAGAGAGGGTAGAACGATAAGGTACCGTCTGCGCATCCATCACGAGTGTAGAAATTATGCGTGATTCAGCCTTCCACTCTTACACACGTAAATGACAAGGAGAGGTTGCCCTAAAGCACTGTAAACAAATTCCAGGATCGACTTTATTCAGCGATTATGTTCATGTTCAGCTCTGTTTTTTGTTTGTGTTTTGGCTGTTGTAAGCTTTTTTGGCGTCAATTCTTTGTTATCTTGCTTATATTTATGATTTTTTATGCTTTTATTCCGATTTAGTATTAAATTATACTTTTCGATGCACTATTTTATAATTGTTTCACAAAATGTTGTTAAACCGTCCCTGAATTTTGTTTACAAAATGTGCAAAACGAAATTGTGCATAGTGTCCAGACTTTTTCATTGACAGTTATCATTCTACCCCTCTCCACTTCATTGATTTTATCTCTATTATAATATCTATATACCACAGTAACGAAAATGAATAGAGTGGCTAATACAATTATAACTTTCCGTCGATACCGATTACTATTCATTTTCGATACTGTAATATAAACTACTTTAAAGTTAAAATATTCAAAAATTAAAAAAAGTACATCGTATATATTATTAAAATTTAACTTATTTTTAAAACCCTCGTATCTAAACCCAGCTGCTCATCTAAATATCATCACTCAACAACGTAACCAAATTCAACCAGGCGATCATTGCTCGACTGTAAATTAATATCCACATTCTATATTCTTTTTGTCATTTTATTAACTCTTTTTAGTGTAAGTATTTTTTTTAAATACTACAATATATTTAAAAAAAGAAAACATTTGATGTTATCAAATTTTAATTCGTTATATAATATCGTTATAATATATTTTCGATCCATCTATGGAACTAATTATTTTCGTTAAGTGAGGACGCCATTTTTAGTCCAAAATTTTTTTTATAATGCATTACATATAAAATGCAACCCAATTTTCATTTATAACTATTTCGGAGGTCTGAGCCTTTTCGTATTTTCCGATTGAATGATTTGCTAGGAAAATGTTTAACTTAGGTGGTTCAAGGTTTCATTTTCAGAAAATTTATTGAATTTGTAGTTTATTCTTACAATGAAAAAGGTCTAAAAGTAGACCATTTTTTATTACACGTTTTTAATTAAAAACAATTAATTTAAAAAAAAATCAATGCCTGAACCTCCTAAGTTGGACTTTTATCTACAATTAAAAAAAAATAGTACGATTAACTGTTGGTCTGCAGACGCCATTCTAATACACAAGGATAATCTGTCCTTAAGGAACCAGATGATTCATTTAAAGAGACCACTATCCTAAACTGAACTTTTACAATTAAATATTTAAACACTTCTTATTATGTATTGAAATGTTTTCTGCCTGACATTTTATTTAATATTTACAGAATCTAGCACTAAGTTTGTATCAAAATTTTTATATAAAACATTTGTTTAGTTTTTTCAAGTTATAGTAATTTTTCCAAAATCGAATCAACTTAGTTACGAAAAGAAACTAAAGCGCAAGGCAGTGTCTTAGGTCCGGTTCATTATTTATTATACACAGTGTGATCTATCAGAGTTCGAACACTCCAATCGCTACTTTTGCAAAAAAAATCAATTTTTAATTTTTCAATAAAATGTAGAAAATATTCTCCGCAGCATTTATAATTCCGGTAGACCGGTCCTGTAAAAAAACTCTTACTTCCAAGGCAAGTGACCTAATGACCCATAACCTATTACGCGAAGGGTAATATATCATTTCCAGCACCAAAAACCATTTCCCCGGAGTCTCAGAGGGACTAGATGCATTTTGGTTTTATGAAAGTTTAACTAGTGCCCCGGTTCTTTTCATAAAAATACCTCTCGCATATTGCCTCATTTATAATTCAAAATGGAAGGAAAAACCTTCACTTGCAGAAGCCGTCATGTATTTTTAAGCATCAGCTTAAAACTTATACACAGCACGCACACACTACCCGTTTTTGTGTTAGGGAATGATAAAACTAAAGTATTATATGGAAGGGGTCAAACAGTTGGGGTATGTAAACTTACCCGACTGGTAATTAAAGTTCTTAACTTCCAATTGTGCTGTTGGAGTTTGCTAAGGTAAAACAAAAGGAGAAACTGAGAGAAAGCGATGTAATAGAAAGTTTTTAATGGTAAATTTCCCCCAGACGTGGAGGAGCAGTGTTGGGGGGTTAACCATGTGTCAGAACAACAATAAAATGCATCAGTCGCATAGTAATGAAATGATGTATATTTTTGTGTGGTTGTAAAGGATTAAAAAAATGTACATAATATAAAAATGCACAACATATTAAAACAAATAAAGAAATAGTCACTACAGTAAATAAAATATTAAAGAAAGATTTTTGTTAAATCCTTACCTGGAGGGTGGTAGTCCATATCGTTGGCATTAGTTCGTCTCTTACCCTGTCCTGTAAATCTAGAATAAAGCATACAGTACGTTATTTAATCATATAGAAAATGTATATAAAAAGTCATGCTAGTGTACTAGTGCTTTCTTGCCATGTGAACTACATATACTCGTATAATGAAGCGATCGAGGTCCGATTGAGTTGTCACCAATTTTTATGCTTAAAAACTTAAGGTCGTCTGTAAATAACAGGCAGTCACTGTTTAAAAAATAAGCTGTTATCTCAATCAGAAAAAATTAAAACATGGAATGATCAAGTGAGATCCTTGTTGAATACGGAACGTCACTGATACTTCACAAGAGATAGAATTTTGCACGATAACATGTTGACAGCGATGACTTGGGTAAGAGTTGAAAAAATTAAGATTGCCAAAAATACCAATTTCGGCTAGTTTTTAAAGATGTGATTCATGTCAAATGCCTTAGATAGGCTATATAGATAGCATCAAGTTGATAATCAGTGTAAAGAGTACTCCTGATATATGTCAAAATGTGTTGCAGTTGCGCCTCCTTGTTAGAACATATGTTGAAATGAAGAAATATAATTTTTAGATATATATGGCATCAATTAGGATGGATTAAAATAATTTAGGTATTCTAGAAAATATGCAAATGCCTCCATTGATTTTTTTTGTCAGTTTTGTCTCTATTTTTGTAAATTATCACCAAGAGAATTTCCAAATAGAAAATGTTTCGCTATCAAACTATTTTTTAAAAATTAGAACTAAAGGCAAAGAAAGTGAGTCGCAGCAGTTCTGTTGGAAATACATCTAACATATTTTAATAATACATCAGTCCAGCTCTGAGTTCTGTGCCACACCAATCATTTAACTAATACATTAATAATTAAACGATTAATACATTTAATCACCAATATTAATTTAAATAATAATTAAATCAAATATAAAAATAATCCTAAATATATTTAAAAGTCCCGAGATTAATAAATCGCTATACATCCATCTCTCTCTGGCAAGCATAAGCGGCGAACGATTTGAAATAGAATGCAATTACAATTTATGAAGTAACAGTGTCCCGCGTTAATAAGGTCACCTGACCAAGCTTCGAGACTGTTCCATCTGCTGGAAGGCACAGGCATAAAAAGGCGAAATGAAGCATATATTGGATTTTGTCAGTAGGAATGAGCAATTTTTTTTTAAACATTGATGATACATCGAATACAGACTACCCAGACAGCACATGACGTCCATTGGACGTCCATATTTTGTCCAAATAATGTCCTGGATGTCCGTGGAATTCATGTGGATGTCCATTGGACTTCTATTTTCCGTTATTCAATGGATATACCCATTCAGTCCAATGGGTGTCCAAAAAATGTCCATGATGGACACTACAAAAATGGCAAAATTATTTACAACTAGGTTTTTATTAAAATAAATCAATTAATTTTCCTCTCCTTTTTGCTTTGTTGACAAGATACAAAAGTAAAAGGCCACTCAGGCCAGAGGACAAGGACATGTACGAAGTAATAAAAAGATGTTTTGTTGACATAATTTCTAATACCGTCACAAAAGAATTCACATAATATGATGGTATAAAAGTAAAATGGTAATTTAAAGAAACAATGAGCAGTTTTTTGTTTATATGTAAGTATAGGGGTAAAGTACATTAGTCAATGCATATTTTCATATTAGTTAATAACATTTTATTTAAAAGTTTTACATTTTTAACTATCAGTTTTGTCTGATCAGGCGTTTATTAAAATATTGATTTTAAGACTCAATATTCGTATAAAATGTAATGTCTTTTTTTAGCTGCCGCTAAGAGTGACAATGGTGCTGCTTAAAAAGAGAGCGAAATAGCCTTAAGAAAATGGCTGAGAAGGTCAACAGAAAGGAGTGCGTATAAAAGCAACACATGCTTGATATTATTTATGACAATAAAAATATGTCTATAGTTCTAATTATTGTATTAACCGACTTCAAAAAAGGAAGAGGTTCTCAATTCGTCGCAATATTTTTTTTTATGTATGTTCAGCGATAATTCTTTAACACGATGTCCGATTTTAACGATCCTTTTTTGTTAGAAAGGGGGTACTTCAGGGGTGATACCCTATAAATTTGGTCAAAATCTAATAATTGGGTCCATGAGAAAATCCTCAAATTCTTCATTTTTTATGTATGTTTAGCGATAATGCTTTACCACCTTGTCCGATTTATGTGATTCTTTTTTTGTTAGTAAGGGGGTATCTCAGGGGTGGTCCCATATAAATTTGGTTAAGATGTGGTGATGGCATCTGCACGTTTATGAAGTCGGTTTTTTAAATTTTTTATTTCTAATACTTATTTCTTATTAATATAGGTGGTGATGTCCATCAGATATCCATAAATTGTTCAAAAGTAATACAAAAAGAGTCCATATATGGACCTTTCATGGAGTCCCAATGGACGTCCAGGAGTGGGATATTTGTATAGTCCAATGGATGTCCATTAGATCTCCTTTGGTAAAATTCTGGACGTCCTTTGGAGAGCTGAAATGTATATCAATGGACTTCCGATGGACATTTATGGATTGACTTGTGCTGTCTGGGATTGTGTTTATAATATCCGCAGCAGATGCAGATTCTGTATTGGTAGGTACAAAAATGTCGAATCCCGAACTTCATTCAACAAGTGGAAGATTGAATGGTACCTAGTTTGGAAGCTTACGATATTAATAATAATAACAATAACAACAACAACAACAATACATTTATTGCCTAATAAAACTTAATCAAGCTGTGTATTTTCCAAATAAAGATCATTTTAAATGTCTAATTACGAAAAGCACGTTACTGTCAACAAATATATATGCTTCACTTCACTTGTTTGTGGAAACCGTTAGAATGTATTTATAGTAAACTGTTGAATATAAAGTTTACCAATCGAGGTGTTGAACGTGACAAGGGTTTTAGGGGGATTTATCAAAATTCATAAGCCCGAATCTTGTTTGCTCAACATATCGAATAATATCCCCGTATGACCCTAGAGAGCCGAATAGCAAATTAACGCCTCGGACGTAAATTAACTGAAGGGTCCGTATAACTAAACCGCTGTCGGTTTTGTCGAACTGTTAGCTTGTATGTAATGTAGTGCCCGAACGGCGTTTGGTTTAAAATTTTACTGCCTATTTAAATTGGATTGACCAGAAGAGTTGAAGCATATAAAAAATAAACGAAATTCGAAATTTGAGTTGAGGGTATCATCTGATAGAGCAGTTTTTAACGATGTGTAGAAAAAGAACCATCCGATGTTCTTACACGGTAGCGAAATGTTTTAATCAAAGTCCGAAGAGCCCAAAATTTTATAGGTGTCTATTTAATTTGTCTAAAGCAGTGGTAGAAAAACTCATTACTCAATAGAGCCAAATAGCAACAGTACAACGATTAAAATTTCTATTGAGAGCCAATTTTTTTAAACTTAAACTATATGTAGGTGGGTACAGTAAACGCCAAATCTAAAGAACCAAGGACGCGCATTTATAATGCTATGAACACGCCTACCGATGAATATAATTGGTAGCTTACCTAGAAAGTTGTAAACCAGAGGCGCGTATATTTTAAGACATAAAATAAATGGAAAATAGTGAATGATGCTTGTTCATACATATTGCTTAGTGTTATTGTTAGTACATAATTCTATAGTCAATTAAAAAATCATTATTTTAGGTAAGCTGACTTTAGGTTAAGGAGAGCTCTGGTGGTCTAGTATTTTGTATTTTAACTGACATTAATTTTTTTATAAACAAAATATGAAATAATATGTGTATGAAGTAATATATCCTTCTGATTTTTTATACCGGGTCTTCATTTCAAAACTGGATAGTCCAATAAGCCTTTGGCCATTAGAAATAACAGAAAACAAACCTTTTGTTGAATCGTCTGTCCAATTCTTGGAAGAAGTATGTCCGTTGTGTATATATGTTTTATCTAAATAAACGATTGGTCTATTTTGACTTCTAAAATATTTTATGTCTCAAATATTTTACTCTTAAAGTTCTTATTTTCATTTTTCCACCAAAACTTTACGATTATTTTGTGTTTTTCTCCACTTAAATTGTAATTTTTACAGACTCTTCTTTTTTGTTGCATCAAAATATTTCAAAACATTGTATATTACTTCACGACTTTGTCCGTTAATAACAGATCTGCGCTTTTTTTCACCCACAATAGAAGACATTATTAAAAATAAAACCAGTCATTTTAACCAAAACACCGAAACAAGAAACAAACAATGATCTAGTCGTTACGCTACTGACCGTAAGCAAGGACAAGGTTCAAATTGTAAAGGGGCGTGGCGATTTTTAAGTAAACGAACTTGAGCATTTGCGCTGGTTCTTTAGATTTGGCGTTAACTGTACATTGTTATTAACTTATTTAGGGTAGGTATTCCTGAGCTGGCTTAAACTAAAAACGTTCTCAATCTGATTGAGGTAGGTTCGCTGAGGTCTACTCTTTTCAACTCTCTCATCCATACTTGTTTCGTCTATCTCCTTTCGTTTATCCTCTTTATATATCCATACCTTTCTGAATATTTAAAACAACATCTTCTTTCAATAATTATAGGTGCGTTGAATAAAAATTGATACAATATTTAAAAACGATATTATGAAAGTAAATTTATAATGATAGGTAATTTTAACATATCTGATTATGTATCTGACATTCCAACTAATTTTAAATTAAATGGCTCAAATAATTTTGTTGACGTTCTAGATTTAACTCACCATAACTTTGTATTCAATGATTACAATAAGCTCTTAGACTTGATGTATTATAAACATTTCTGTTTGGTCAAAAATCTTTAGAATCCTTAGTAGAAGAGGATAAATATCATCCGGCTTTAGAAATCACTTGTAGAATAAACGAAAAAAAGCAATATAAGAAAAATCTTGAATCCTCTTACACGAATTGCTACAATTTTCGTAAAGCAAATTTTCTGCTTTTGTATGAAATGTTATCTACTGTGAATTGGGATTTTTTGGAGGTTTTCTGTGATGCTGAAGATGCC